TTTTTTTTTTTTTTTTGACAGGATCTCACTACGTAATTGAGGCTGACCCAGAGCTCACTATGTAGCCCAGGCTGGTCTCAAACTCACAACGATCCTCCTGCCTCAGCCTCCCAAGTGCTGGGATTACAGGCCTGCATTACTATGCCTAGCAAAGGATTTTTATGTATAATCTCAGTACCATATCTTCAGTGCCCCCAAAGAGTATCTGGGATGTGAGGGTGACCTGACTGTGACATCTGTCATCCCACTGGTGGCCAGGGTTGATTCAGATGATCTGGCTGGCTGGGCAGGTGTCCCTTGCTGCCTCACCGCTCATGTTTATCCTTCCTGAAGCTGTGCTCCCTCCATGGAAGGGGACGCCCGCCCGAGAGGGGGGGGGGACACCCCTTTCCTCAGCCCAGGGTATAGGACTAGCTGCACTCCCTTCTAGAACCTCCAGACAAGTTCCCTGAAAGAGTGTCTGGCACACAGAAGGAGCTCTGTGTGCATGTCCGCGAGGCAAATACATTAGCTCTCACCTCTCCTCCCCCTCCACGCCTTCCCCGCGTGCATGAGAGGAGAGACCCTGTGAGGTCTGTCCGGAGCCCCACCCGTGTCCTCGGCATCAGCTCCCACCCACGGTGGACGCTCAGTCTGTGCAGGTTCATCAAGTGACTTCTAGGAGCCACTCGGAGACTAAGCTTATGTGCATTTGCCTAGTGGGACTGTGCTTCAAATTAGCACTGCCGCATACTGAGGGTTGAACCTGGGGCCTCCAACTGACCTGCATACTCTGCCTGCTGCTACCTTTTTAAAGCTATGCAACTGGGCTCAAGCTTTCAATTCTCCTGCTGCAGCCTTGAACTTCATTCTTCTCTCTCCCTTTCTCCCCTCTCGCCCTTCTTTCCAGTGCTTCGGCCTTCTTCCAGTGCTTCTGGAGGCGGAACCTAGGATCCTATACAAACAAGACAAGCGCTGTACCACTGGAGGACAACCCTAACCAAGGCATCGCTTAAGAATAAACTTAGTCTGGGGATTTAGCTCAGTGGCACCCCGCCTACCTCACAAGTGCAAGGTCCTGAGTTTGATCCCCGGTACCAGGAAAAAAAAGAAACAAAAAAAGAATAAGCCCAGTGTGGTGTTACACACTTGCAATCCCCCCACTCTGGGAGGCTGAGACAGGAGGATCACAAGTCAATCTTAGCCTGGGCAATTTGATGACTTAGTGAGGCCCTGTCTCAAAAAATAAAAATATGGACTAGGTTCTAGACCAGTATGAAGGTCCTGGGTTAGATCCCCAGCACAATAAATAAATAACCTACAAAGCACAACACTAAACCAGGCGTGGTGGTGCACACCTATAATTCCAGCACTTGGAAGGCTGAGGCAGGAGGATCGCCACACATTCCAGGCCAGCCTGGGCTTTGTAGTGAGTTTCAGGACAGCCTCTTCTATGACGGCCTCTTCAGGACTACATAGTGAGACCCTGTCAGAAAAAAACAAAACACCACAACGCTATTTCACATATCAGAGAATTAAGAATTCCACACTAAGTCCAGGGCATGACCCAAGTATCCTTTGCTGGCCTCAGACTCCTGAGCTCATTCAGCCTCCCCACTTTGGCCTCCTGAGTAGCTAGGACCACAGGTACCACTGCACTCGGCAAAAATATCTTTTGTAGTTGCTTTCCTTTCCTCAAAATCAGGATATAATGAAGGTTCACGTGCTAGCTTGGTTGCTGTGAAGAAATTACATAGTACTTTTTATTCTAGAAAAACATCAACCTCTCCCCATCCCCTCCCATTTTGGGTTTTCTTGCCATCAAATTTCTGGCAGAATGTTCTGGTTGTGTTATAGGATGTCCCACCTTCTGGGTTTGTCTGTGTTCATTTGTTCCTCTCTTCGCTGGTGGCGCACACCTATGATTCCGGCGCTCAGGAGGCTGAGGCAGGAGAATGACTCTGCCTGTTCCAGGTCAGCCTGGACTATACAGTGAGCTCGAGACCAGCCTGAACTAAAATAATGAAACCCTGTCAAAAGAAAATTGTTCCTATTTCCTTTTTTTTGAGACAGGGTCTCACTATGTAGTTCATACTGCTCCGGAACTCACTGTGTAGCCCAGGCTCGTCTTGAACTCGCAGTGATCCTCCTGCCTCAGCCTCCCAAGTGCTGGGATCACAGGCGTGAGCCACCACACCCGACTTCCTCTCTATTTTCTATAAGATGTGAATGAGTCTAGATTCTAGAAGCCTGATGAGATACAACATATGCAATTGAGCAGGGAGACTCTACAGGGAAAGTTGTGCACTCCCTAGTGGATCCAGCAGGATGTCGCACCATTGGTGATGTCACATCATAAAAAGATATTTAGCTGGGTGTGGTGGCTCAAGGGCACTCCTCACCTGCCACTGGAGAGTTAAGAAATTAGAGTAAAATAGAACCTGTAAGAACACTATACCAGGCAGCAAATGCTGGACAGTTGGACTCAGTCATGGATAAAGATGGGGGTGAGGCGCGGCTGGGAAGTCACCAGGTCACATCTTGGGCTCCATTTCACTATGTGTGTGTCCTTGGGGAAGTATTTTAATCATTTAAAAGGTGGTGTGGTAGCACATGCCTATAAGAAGGGCTACTCTCAAGGGTAGGGCAGGAGAATTGAAAGTTTGAAACTAGCCTGGGAAAACTAGCCTGGTGGCACAGGCCTGTAATTCCCGCACTTGGGAAGCTGAGGCAGGAGGATCGCTGTGGCTTCGAGGCCAGTCTGGGTCACATAGTGAGTTCAGGGACAGCCTGAACTACAAACCAAGACCCTATCTCAACAAAACAAAATAAAAAATTCAGGTAATGTGCAACATATGCCTTTGGGACACAAGTCATGAATGCTTTCAAAATGGGAAGATACCCTGGGTGGAGCTAGAGGTAGACAAGTCAGGACTCACAGTGACCCTCCTGCCTCAGCCTCCCGAGTGCTGGGATTACAAGCGTGTGCCACCATTCCCGGTTTAGCTCCAGTGTTTTTCCAAGGTCACACACCCACTGAGTTACAGAGGATTTGAACCCAGGTTTATCTGGCCTAGAGAGTAGATTTCAGTTGAGGCTATGTGCGTGAGATGCTCCATTGTTGTATTTGGTAGGTATGCGGGGATTGTACTTTGGAAACCCAAAGAACTCGTACCCACCACCATCTCACACGGCACGCAGCCACTGGTCTTTCCCCACTTTGCTACGGCAGTTGCCAGGGCTTGAGCCAGGAAGCCATCCTCCCCTCCTTTTAAATTAGCCCCGTCCAGGCTCCGCCCCTTACCGCTCAAGGCCAATCCCTAGGATGGAGGGGCGGGGAAGCCACGCGAGTGGGCGTGGCTAAGGATAGTCAGGAGTGCGGAGTCGTGCGCTGGAGTCAGAGCTGAGTTTCCAGACCCAAGCGCCGGTTGCTGAAGGAGAGCTCGCGAGCGATGCTGCCCCTGCCGCTTCCTGATTGGCCGCGGGTGGCTACTTCTTTGTTCTGATTGGCAGCGAGTGAACTGGGTATGTAAATGAAGGGGCCCGGGGAGAAAACGGGTACCGGCGATCGGGTTCTTTCCGTGTTCGATCCCCGGGGCAGGCGGAGGATCACCTGGGCTACCCCGGGTCGAGACGCTCCGGGCCTTTACGTGCTGCCCGCCCCGGCCGGGCTGGGTGAATCACGCCGCAGCCGGAGAAGGGGGCGGAGACGCCTGCTCCCTGGCTCCGGCTGCGTGACTCACCCGCCCCCGCCACCGCCGCTGCCTTCCGGAAGCGAGAGGAGGACCGAGCGGCGAGCGGCCCGACGGGGTCTAGGCTTGAGCCGCTCCGGGCGGGAGGCAGGAAGTACAGGCTGGACTGGGGTCTGTGTAAAGGATCCAGGGGTCGGAGGGGCTGTGATCCTCGGAGGAAAGCCGGCCGGTGCCCCGCTAGGGGGCGCCGGGACGCGGGGGAGGACGGAGTGGGGGGCTGGATTCCTGCGGTTCGGGCCCCGGGGTCTTTTGGACCCGGGCAAAGACCCTGTATTGAGTAGTGCGGCGGATCGCTCTTACGGTCTTGCTAGGCAGCGTCCCAGGACCTGGCCCTGCGGTCCTCCCGGACCCCCAAAGTCGGTTGAGTCAGGGCTCTAAACCTCCAGGCCCTCCCCTCGCCGGCAAGTGTGGATTCTCAAACTTCTCTCGGGGACTGGCCCCGGTGCCCATCAGGATTTTCCGGCAAGCCTTGACCACTCCGTCTCCCGCAGACGTTCTGAATCCACTTCCTTCCAAGTCCACTGCCAGCTTCTCGGCGTCGCGCGTCCCAGGAGGACAGCAGTCTCCCCACTGGGTCTCAACCTTCACTGTGCCCCCCAGCCCTGCCGCCCGTCTTATTCCTAGCAGCCGAGGGGCTCGGCTACAAACCTAATCAGCGCACACCGCCACTCCCCTCCCTGTTCGAACCCCTCAGAGCGTCCCTGCTGCTGGAAAACCGGACCTCCCTGCCTCTGCAGCCTTCTGCCTGCGCCCCACCCCCACAGGGACTCCTAGTGTGTCACTGTGCGAAAGCCACATTGGGCCGTTTCAATTCAGGCATCTCCACTCTCTAGGTCTTTTTTTTTTTTTTTCCTCTCTCTCTTTTTCTTTTTTGGGGGGCTGGGGGTTTGAGACAGGGCCTCACTATGTAGTTGAGACTGACCTGGAACTCACTATGTAGTCTAGCCTGGTTTCAAACTTGAGGTGATCCTCCTGCCTCAGCCTCCCAAGTGTGTGTCCCCAGCTCTAGGTCTTTCTTTGCCTTTGATTTTGTTCCATCTTCCTGAAATGCCTTCCTGCTGGTTCTTTATGGCTGATACGACACACACTGGGGTTCATAGTTCCAGTGTCACCTCCTTAGAGGAGTCCTCTCCATCTCCAGGACCTTTTGGTATCTTTCCATCATTGTGCACATTTCCTGTGTTTATTGTTGCAGTATAGTGGACACTCAAATAAACATCTGTATGGAACAGCTGCTTTTGTAAATTAAAAGGAGAAAAATTGAATGTTGGCCATTTTGCATGGTTCACTGAAGAAAAAAGTTTTTTTAGTTTTTTGAGACAGGGCCAGTGCTGGCTTTGAACTTGCTTCGATCCTCCTGCCTCAGCCTCCCGACTGCTGGTTTTATAGGCATACACCAAGCAATATTAAGAATATTTAGCCGGGTGTGGTGGGACATGCCTGTAATCCCAGCACTTGGAGACTGAAGCAGGAGGATCCCTGAGTTCCAGGTTAGTCTCAGTACATAAGTGAGACCCTGTCTCAAACCCCCCCAAAAAATTTATAGCCTAGTATGGTGGTACAATCTGTAATCCCTGCGCCTGGGAGGCTGAGGCAGAAGGATCTTTGTCATGAGTTTGAGGCCAGCCTGAACTGTACAGTGAAACTTTAAAAAACACACACAAAAAGCCGGGTCTGGTGGCACAAGCCTGTAAATCCCAGCACTTGGGAGGCTGAGGCAGGAGGATCGCTGTGAGTTTGAGACCAGCCTGGGCTACATAGTAAGTTCCAGGTCAGTCTCAACTACATAGTGAGACCCTGTCTCAAAATAAGCAAACAAACAAACAAATACACACAAAGTATTATTAATAAGAGTAATTACCATGTACCAGGCACTGTTATAAGTGCTTTTTATTTCACTTAATACTTAAAACAACTTATAAAGAAGATGTCATCCTCCATATCTTAGGAAGTTTAGTCTTGGAGAGGTTAAATGACTTGCCCCAAATCATACTGACAGCAGTGGTTGGGCCAGCGTGTGAATATTAATATTTTCCTACCATAAATGTATGGCTTCTCCCTTTCTGCAGACGATGCTGAGCAAGGGTCTCAAGCGCAAGCTGGAGGAGGAGGAGGAGAAGGAAGCCCTAGAAGTAGATGCCTGGTGGCTGGATCCTGGCCACCCAGCAGTGACACAGGCGCCCCCCACTGTGGCCTCCAGCTCCCTGTTTGACCTGTCTGTGCTCAAGCTCCACCACAGCCTGAGGCAGAGTGAGCCGGACCTGCGGCATCTGGTGCTGGTGGTGAACACACTGCGGCGTATCCAGGCGTCCATGGCACCCACAGTGACCCTGCCACCTGTGCCCAGCCCACCTGTAGTCCCCAGTGTGTCTGATAACCTGCTGGCCAGCTCCGACACCGCACTCTCAGCCTCCATGGCCAGCCTCCTAGAGGACCTCAGCCAGATTGAGGGCCTGAGCCAGGCCCCTCAGCCCCTGGCAGATGAGGGCCCACCAGGCCGCCCGACAGGGGGAGCCCCATCCAGCCTGGGTGGCTTGGACCTGCTGGGCCCAGCCACTGGCTGTCTGCTGGACGATGGACTTGAGGGCCTGTTTGAGGACATTGACACCTCCATGTATGACAGTGAACTTTGGGTGCCAACCTCGGAGGGCCTCAAGCCTGGCCCTGAGAATGGGCCGGGCAAAGAGGGAGCTCCCGAGTTGGATGAGGCCGAGCTGGACTACCTCATGGATGTGCTGGTGGGCACACAGGCACTGGAGCGGCCACCGGAGCCAGGCCGCTGACCCCGAGGGTCGGGATGGTTGTCTGGCATCTGAACTGAGCCTGGTGTCTGGATCAGCCCTTCTTGGAAAGACACAGCCAGCTGCCCTAGCAGAGCCAGGGGCTCGGCCACTTGGAGAGACAGAATCCAGTCCTGGGCAACTCCACATCCATTCTCTTGTGGAGGGGCCGTGGAGGGGTCTGGGACTGGCCCCTAGTGATGGAATGGCAGACAGGACCTAGTGGCTGGAAGGTGACTGGGCCAGGCCCCACGCTGGACTGAATCCTCTGGAGTCACAGTGTGGGTTGTTTCTTTCTGGATTTGGGAAGAGACCTCAACCTGTTTTTTGACATTAAAACCAACTCTGGAAAAAATCTCAGGACTATGTGTTTGTCTCTGAGGGTGAAATATGACATCCAGTACTTAGGCCGGACTGTGTAGCAGGCTCTCTTATAAGTGTTTGCCAGGTTTTAACCAGTTAATCCGATAACAGCCCTACAAAGATGGGGATGATGCTTGAAGATCCCCACTTTACAGTTGAGAAAACAGGCTTAGAAGAGGAGAGGGTTTCAGATCATGGACTATGTACTCCCTTACTGGCCTGAGAAGCAGATGGTTTACCTGGCAGCTGGCCCTACACACACCCCAGAGCACACCACCAGGTTTCCTTAGTATGCCTGTGTGCACATGACAGGAGGCCCCGGGTCACTTTTAAAAAATGAATTCAGTCCTTCCCCTGGGTGTCCTGTGGGGAGAGGGGAAAGGAGCTTCCAGAATGGCCCAGAAAGGAAAACATAAAAGGAGACTGAACAGAGCTTCATGGAGCCCTGAGTCCAGCACTCCCAGAAGACGGTCAGTGGTCAAAGAAAGGGAACACCCGCCAGGCTTTCAAAATAAAATCCACTCTGGACTTCACATCTGTCCTGGAGCAAAGAACAGGGCAGCTTAGAGACGGTCTCCAAAATAAAGCCACCGGGTTTGGTGGCTGGAGCTAAGAGGGCCGTCGGGGCGGACAGCTGGCTTTCCTTCTAGAAGAAACCCAGGCCCAGGCAAGCCGGGGCCACCTGCCCCCGGCCCGTGCATCGGCCTGGCCGGAGCCGGTGTCTG